GGCTACATAAGCTGAACTTGCGCACCAAGAGGGAAGTGTACAGTTATAAACACAGAAAAACAGAACAAAAGCAAGTAGTTATTGATCAAATAATCGTTTGTATTGTCATTTGGCAATAAATATGACGACTGTCTTCTGACTGTGGACTCGGTCGGGTCCCTCTAGAAATCGCCGGTTGATCGAAGTACCCTCGATGATACTTGCAATAGCAAAGACCGCACATACTCTTCCGGGCTTATTTGGATGGGTAACAACATGGTACGGTAGACACTTCACTCCTTTGACCTCTGAATAGGCATCGGCATGTGATTACGTGTCCAGCAAATCCTCTAGCGACATGATAGGCTGTGGCTTCTGCGTAAAGTCGGTGCAATTTCGCGTTTCACTGTAGTCGGCAATGTACCAGTACAGATCTTCGGTATGCACTTGCAAAGTTGGTCCGCCGGTTCGGACAATCGTTCGTTCATGAAAGTTTCATTTCGTAGTGGGAGTTATACTTTCTTGCGGACGATTGCATCAACTGTAGGGCTTCTTTTATGAGCATCGCTGGATATGCACCGAAAATTCGCCGTCGCACCTGTGTTCGAGTACCGGATAAGCGTTATCGGATCGATGGAAGGGGGATATATGACATTTGATCACTATCACATGCTAATGACTAATTTTGACAACCTGTTAGAGAGCAAGTGTGAAAAAAATTGGTTTTAAACAGTGCAATGCGAACCAGTGGACTTTTAAACAAACTTACATTTAATTCCAGGGAACAGATGCAAAAGATTGACCATGTCATGGCCGGTCCGTCGGGATCAGTGACCTGAAACCGCACAAATGACAAAAACGGTTCAATTATCACATTTTTACCAATTCGGTATAACATGATTTAAAATGTGCAAAGCAGACGCAAAAAAACTGACTATTTGCTACTTCTTTCGATAAATATGTTTGAGAGTTTATCAGGGATAAACCTGCTAACACACCGAATTCAGATTAGCAGGCTTCGCTGGCTAGGGCACGTATTGCGCATGCCCAGCCATCGTCTTCCGCACCGCGCTTTATTCGCTGTAGCTAATCCGGGCTGGAGGAAACCGCGTGGAGGTCAACAGATGACGTGGAAACGAGGCCTGAAGAAATGCATAGAGACATTAGGTAGAGTAGGTTACTCGCGCCTTCCAGGTTGGTGTTTGAAAGATTATGTAACCGGTCAGTTGGAGACACCGAAGGATATGGCAACTAACCGACAGCAGTGTCGTTCTTGTCATTTTTTTATCAGGACAAAATGCTAGAAACGGTATGTATGCAGAGTTCGGTTGTGTACTCTGTGTGTTGACCAGAGACGTTCATTTTCTTCCCCCTCCGTGAAGGTAGGTCCCATCCCCGTCCACCTTAAATTTTACGACTGACCTAGTATGCATTGCGAGTTTGGCAGCGATCAGTGAAGTTCACCTCACTGTATTTCGCTGTACGACCATTAGAGAGATAGAGAGAGATATAACAGATTAATAGAGGATTAAGCCTTGAGTCAGTATCCTCTGGTAAACTCGATGGAAAACCAGAGGCAAACAGAGATAGATATCATATACAGCGAGCGAATGATGAAAGAACAGGGGTGATGAACAAGGGTCACCGCGACTGTGCATGACACTTGACCATCGTACTTAGGCTTTCCAACCAACATGGATCACACACACTCGAACAGTGCATACACAACACTCCAAGCATCAAGACCTGATCAGCAAAGATAACCAGAAAGCTACGGCTATCAGTTTGCTGCCATAATATCTAGTTTTTCAAACCAACCAAGAAAACACCTAATTTACACGACACTTATGTGCATTTTTTCATGCCTCGTCTGCCCGTCATCTGTGGACATCTTCGTGTTTGCGAGATGAGGTATGAAGATAAGGACGGTAAAAATCTGTAAAGTAAGTGTTTTACGGTTTCAACTTTTCTCTTGATTTATCGTCGGAATAAAATGTCTGTTGCATCTCAGAGGAACAAGGAGTTCA